ATATATATATATATATATATATATATATATATATATATATATATATATATATATATATATATATATATATATATATAAGCACGTTATTTTCGTGAACGTGAGATGAGGATTCATTAACGAAAAGTTTTATAGGAGGGAAAGCGTTAATTTATCATCAGGAAAAAATATGATAACATTTTCCACATTTATTTTTTAGTAACGAGCAATGTGAGGGTGCCCGAAAGTCCGGCTGGTTATAACAAATACGAAGTATTTGTAAATCTTGTATCTCTAATGTACCATGTACAAATGAATGTCACGTTTGCTTAGTATATAATGTTGTAATGAAAATATTTACTAAAGAACACACGAGGCTAAATGAATATATTCAAATATTTTTACATATTTTCCGCAGATATATTTGTTCTTTGCTGTGTACGAAACTGTAACGTACGTTCCAACACAAAATTTAAAGTGATATTTTAATTTTTTTCTCACGTGTACACGCTTGATAGACATGTTTCAAGTAAATGAAAAAAAGTTGTAAACCGTTCCGCGTAATAAACTGCACGTTTTCGGACGCACTTTACCGGAGTGTAATTTGTAACTTCGTATAAAGACTCGAGATTCTGTCGCCAAGAATCGTGATGGAGGTAAATCGCTTTATTCTACGTTATATCTATAATGAGAAAGAGTGAAGACGAGACAGAAATATTTTGTAGAATGGGGGACGCGCGCGTCTCTGTGTATGGGGAAAGCGTAATACTACAGGAATATAAATCTCCTCTTTCCAATTAATTACGCACGTCGCGATGGTATTTATTTCTTCTATGTACTTTAACTAGGACGATAATGAAAGTGCTGTGACAAGAAGTATGCGTTCCCTTACAAACTGTAGCAATTGAAAAAAATTATAACAAATTTTTTATAGTTCGGAAATAGATTATATGTCGAAGAAGTAGAGAGGTTTTATATATGTATTTATGTCAATTCAACATTAGTTATACTTTTAATCTATTATACTCACGCACACGTGAATTGGCTTGCAAAGCTCCAGCAGTGCAAACATTTTTTTTACCTAATCCCAATGCATATGAATATGTATATTATTGATTGCACGACGGGATAACGTAGAAATTCTATCAATACAAAAAAGTTTCCACTAAAACGACTCAAGTTTCAAATAGATTATTAATTAAGCATGATGCGAACGTTACTGCGTTAATTAATTAAAAATCGTAATAATAATATACGAATTTTAATCGAAGATGCGAAGTACAACAGAAGAGTTTAGTCTAATTGGCCGAGATTTTAAAATACTCGCATGAAATTTTAGGCACTTTAGTAATGTATTACTAAAAAATGTTATTGCTATCAAAATTAAAACAATGATAAATAAATCGTAAAGTTTGTTGAGTTGAGAATGTACTTATAATTGTTACGTAATATTTATATAACTCGCTTTGTAATACTATCAATTAATGTAATGACCAATATGGTAATTACATGTAATAAAAAACCGCAAATGTCGATAAATGCTAACAATAATAATAATTTAAGAAGCTTAAATCATAATTAATAATTAATAATTATATATATTAATAATTAATAATTATATAAATATATATACAGGGTGTTCGGAAAGTACCGGGACGCCCGAATATCAGGAAAAATATAAGTTTTACAAAAAAATGTTTCAGACAAAAGATGTGGCGTTTAAAAAGATGTATTTACTGATCA